GGAGCCTAAAGTGAAAAGTGAAAGCAGCTGACTGTCATTGCATGTGGTGCTCGACAAACGCTCCAGTGGCAACACTCGCAAGTCAAAGCAGCTGACTGTGATTGCATGTGGTGCACGGCAAACACTCTAGGCATGCATGCAACACTCCACGGGTGCATGCAAAACTGGCGGCTTGTCTTCAAACTTCGAAGAGCCGCGGCGGCCGTCGGCAGGTGTTCAAAACCTCAGTGGGGCTGACTGAAACCTGGGAGCCTAAAGTGCCTGGGAGCCTAAAGTGAAAGCAGCTGACTGTCATTGCATGTGGTGCTCGACAAACACTCCAGTGGCAACACTCGCAAGTCAAAGCAGCTGACTGTGATTGCATGTGGTGCACGGCAAACACTCTAGGCATGCATGCAACACTCCACGGGTAAATGCAAAACTAGCGGCTTGTCTTCGAAGAGCCGCGGCGGCCGTCGGCAGGTGTTCAAACCTCAGTGGAACTGACTGAAACCTGGGAGCCTAAAGTGCCTGGGAGCCTAAAGTGAAAGCAGCTGACTGTCATTGCATGTGGTGCTCGGCAAACACTCCAGTGGCAACACTCGCAAGTCAAAGCAGCTGACTGTGATTGCATGTGGTGCACGGCAAACACTCTAGGCATGCATGCAACACTCCACGGGTAAATGCAAAACTGGCGGCTTGTCTTCGAAGAGCCGCGGCGGCCTTCGGCAGGAAACCTCGGTGGAACTGAGTGAAACCTGGGAGCCTAAAGTGCCTGGGAGCCTAAAGTGCCTGGGAGCCTAAAGTGAAAGCAGCTGACTGTCATTGCATGTGGTGCTCGGCAAACACTCCAGTGGCAACACTCGCAAGTCAAAGCAGCTGACTGTGATTGCATGTGGTGCACGGCAAACACTCTAGGCATGCATGCAACACTCCACGGGTGCATGCAAAACTGGCGGCTCGTCTTCAAACTTCGAAGAGCCGCGGCGGCCGTCGGCAGGTGTTCAAAACCTCAGTGGAACTGACTGAAACCTGGGAGCCTAAAGTGCCTGGGAGCCTAAAGTGAAAGTGAAAGCAGCTGACTGTCATTGCATGTGGTGCTCGGCAAACACTCCAGTGGCAACACTCGCAAGTCAAAGCAGCTGACTGTGATTGCATGTGGTGCACGGCAAACATTCTTCGAAGACAAGCCGCTCTCTCTCTCTCCCCCGAGTCCGTGTGAGAGAGAGAGAGCGGCTTGTCTTCGAAGAGCCGCGGCGGCCGTCGGCAGGTGTTCAAACCTCAGTGGAACTGACTGAAACCTGGGAGCCTAAAGTGCCTGGGAGCCTAAACTGAAAGCAGCTGACTGTCATTGCATGTGGTGCTCGGCAAACACTCCAGTGGCAACACTCGCAAGTCAAAGCAGCTGACTCTGATTGCATGTGGTGCACGGCAAACACTCAAGGCATGCATGCAACACTCCATGGGTAAATGCAAAACTGGCGGCTTGTCTTCGCAGAGCCGCGGCGGCCGTCGGCAGGCGTTCAAAACCTCAGTGGAACTGACTGAAACCTGGGAGCCTAAAGTGCCTGGGAGCCTAAAGTGCCTGGGAGCCGCCGTGACAGGAATCGCAAGTCAAAGCAGCTGACTGTCATTGCATGTCATGCTATAACATGATTTTTGCTCTCGTCCTGCCCCCCCCCCCCCTGAGGCTGCGGCTGCGGCTGCGGCCACAGCCGAAGAGTGATCACGACGAAGTCCATGAAGACATGGCGGCACGGGTTAGGGGTGGGCCTTGAGCCTGGCAGCCTGGGAGCCTTGGAGCCACCACCTACTGTAGTCTGACTGACTGAGCCTGGACCTGCATGCTGGGGTCTGACCGAGCCTGGTGCATTGTTCTGGGTCTGTGCATGCATGCTGGGGTCTGACCCAGCCTGGTGCATTGTTCTGGGTCTGACCGAGCCTCGTGCATTGGTCTGTGCATGCATGCTGGGGTCTGACCGAGCCTGGTGCATTGTTCTGGGTCTGTGCATGCATGCTGGGGTCTGACCCAGCCTGGTGCATTGTTCTGGGTCTGACCGAGCCTCGTGCATTGGTCTGTGCATGCATGCTGGGGTCTGACCGAGCCTGGTGCATTGTTCTGGGTCTGTGCATGCACGCTGGGGCCTCGGTCGGGGATGCACGGGCATCCCTCACCCCCGCAAGATGTCAGTGGTGGGACCACAGACATCTTGCGGGGGTGATGGATGTCTCTATCCATGCACGCTGGGGCCTCGGTCGGGGTTCATGCACGCACATCCTTCACCCCTGCAAGATGTCGGTGGTGGGACCACAGACATCTTGCAGGGGTGAGGGATGTCCGTGCATCCCCCGACAGGCATCAACTCCAACCAGGTGTTTCCACTGGAAACACCTGGTTGGATTGATGCCTGGTCTGACCCCTCGAGCCTGAAGGCTGCAGTTGGTTGTATGCAATGAACCCCACAAAACACCAAAAAATTAAAAATCCCCGAAACGGCCACCAAGAAAATCTATGCGGCGGGGCGGTTTAAGGGGGGCAGCTCATGAGGATGCTCGCATGGTGGGGTTTTCAACAAAACACATATATGCTGTCAAGCAAGCTCGGCACTCTCGCACGCCCGTGGCAGGCTTTCCATTTGCAAAGACACTCTTTGCATGGTAATGGCATTGTTTCAAAAAGCCTTATATTTTATGCAGGGTGGGTTTCAAAAACGACGTCTATGCTGTCAAGCAAGCTTGCACACAGCTCAAAACAGCGGGGTCTCTGGTCTTTGCTTCTTGCTGTCTAATTATCCTGCTTTCGTTCTTGGGTTCTTTCTTTGCTCCGTTCTTTCTAACACTCCTTCTGGTCGTCCTTGCTGGCTTTCTGTCTTTCGATATTCATTTCTTCTGTTCTGTCTCTCTGTCTTTCCTGCGTTCTTATTTCCTTGCTTCTGTCTGTCCTTCTGTCCTTCCTTCCTTTCTTTCTTTCTCCCCATTCTGGTGTGTTGCTTTCTTGCTTTCTTCCTTTGTTCCCGTCTTCGTTCTTTCTTTCTTTCTGTCGTCCTTCATTCCTTCCTTCCTGTCTTTCTGTCCTTCGTCCTTTCTTTCTTTCTCCTCTTCCTGGTGTCTTCCTTTTTTGCTTTCTTTGTTTGTTTCTTTGCTCCTTTCTTTCTTTCCGGCTTCCGTTTCTCTCCTTCTTTCTTTCGTTTGCGTTCAACCTAAAACCAGAAAAATAGACAGAAAAAAAACAGAAAAAATGACAAAAAAAATACGGTACCCCGTTTCTCATTTTCGGTGCTTTCCTCCTCGGGCACAAGGCAGAGGCAAAATAAGAAATGTAGGGGGATACGTTTCTTATTTTCTTGGTTTGCAAGTCCCAAGCCTGAGGCACAGGCCAGAAGCTAGCGTAAGAAATGTAGGGGGCTGCATTTCTTACTTTTGGTGTGCTTCGGGCCCTGAGCCTTGGGCACAAGGCGGAAGCCAAAATGAGAAATGCAGGGGGCTACTCGTCTAATTTTGACGGTTTCCGCGCCCTCAACGCTGTTTCAGTGTGTGTGTGTGGCTAAGTATCTAAACATTAAAGTTGTAATGAACACTGTCCCAGCGGTGTCTAGCTAGCCTAATGGAAAACAGCCTGTGGCTCAGTGCCTAGGCTTTAACGGACTCGAGCCCCGGCTGAGACTTGAGCAAGAAATGGAGGATACCCAACGCTTCGGAGCTGGGATATGTGGAAATCTGAAGGTAAAAGCAAGTCCAGAAATTAAGGGTGCCAAAGGGAGCTGGCATGTCTTCTCCAGCAAATGCACTGTAGTTCAGGACGTGGGATGACAAAGTTAATAATTCAGAAATTCATAGGGATCCCTGTTCGAAGATGCGGGAAGACCATAGATCCGACACCACTGCAAAGCGTAGTGGTGGAAGGCGCAAGTTCAAAAACTCCGACCTTGAATGGCCACAGCTTCAGGTCGGCTTGCACGACCGGGTCCTGAAGAGAGAACCAGAACACGCTGGAGCCTCCCTTTGCCGTTTACTTGCAGAGTTGTGCACGCTTTTCGGTCTCAAATTACACGGGATGTGCGTACTGCCACATCGCGACATCGCACTAGCGACATCAGCTGCACACAGAGCTCTAGGTTCCATTTCCCGCTATGGCGGATTATCATGTAGACCGCGGGAACTTGGTAGAATCGATCTTCAGGGTCCTGGAACTTGCGTCCGATGAGGCGCTTAGCATCGAAAACCGTGTTAGTAGGATTGCTTGCAACCTTCCAGAACGGACTTTTGATCTGCCATTTGCTACAAAACTCCACGTGCACACGTGTGTATCAGCATAGCGCCTGATTCTTGGCAGCATCACCAAGAAGTCTCTCGTTCTCCGTCCATGCAACATAAGATGGCGTCCTGCAGAAACACAGTGCAACTCTGTCTGCTTGCATGTCTACTGTTTGTGGAGAATAAAGTCTCACATGAAGTGTAAGAAGACAATCCGTTCAATGGGATTCAACGTCGCGGTACAACCAGCCAAGGTTCGTTCGGTTGCCTTGGTCATTGGCAATGATCTGCACCTGCTGCCAACACCGTGTCCCATCTTGTCTGGAAACCGACCGGCATTCTGCGTCCCGCCTCTCCATCCTTGAAGATTCCCACGCACGAGTACGTAGTCCCCAAGTCTATGCCCATGGAAAAGCTCCTCAGCTCGTGCAGAAACGAAGACGGTCTTGAAACAGTCACTTTTGGAGTGCACGTCTCAAGTCTCTGGAAGCCAGGACACTTCGTCGGCTCGGCTTCAGCCATGCCTGAAATAAAATTAGAAGCACTGCAAGTCCTTCTGCACTGGCACAAGTACATGACCAGGCCTTTGACGGTTCAATCTCTCAACTTGAACTTCAAGCGGGCACGCGCCCTCACATGAAGCCTAACATCATGAAAGAAGGGGAGCTCGAGCCGCAAAAGCTGAAGAACGAAGGCGAGCAATGGCATGACATCATTCATCATTAGTCATGAAAGTAACTTCGACAGTTTGCTTACAGGTTCCCGGCCGCATCGCTGGATGCCAGCCGCAAAGGTGTTTCTTTCTCCCGGTCCTTCGATCTTTGTCTTCTTGCTCTGGCTGTCTGGCTTGGGCAAAAGCCCGGCTACAAGCCTTTGCTCTGTAGCGGGAGCTGCCCGCCTGGGCACCCGGATCTGCCTTGTGCTTCAACAAGAGACGGACTGACAGCAGCTGACCTGCTGTCAGCTAAATCACATTACATAATCACTGTTTCAAACATCTTCGAAAGAAGGTAGACAGGCGCCTTCTTCTGCGGCATGGTGAAGAGCAACCTCTGTGCATTGTCGTCGAGATATGCCGAGGCTCTGGATGCAGGGGTGTCCGGCACGCCCGAAGGAGTCGCGCTGGTTGATATCCGCCGCAAGTTGCAGCAACCTTTCATCAAGACATGTTGCAGAAGGCCCAGACCCAGCTGAAAATTTCTGAGCTTTTGCCGAGGGTTACTGGCATGCGGTCAGAATTCGATAGAGAGGTCTTGTGCCTTCATCTTGCTTGTGCTTGCTCATGCCCTATGGGCCTATGCGGTTCCGCGTGAGCGAATTCCTGAGCACCGCTTAGTGTCGCAGAGCTCAGCTCATGCCCTTGTTTCAGGCTGCGGTGTGCGGGTTTCCATGTTCTGCAAGATCGTGCCTGGGCTGCAGGGAGTTGTGAAGCTTGGCAGCTTGTGCATTGCGTGGGATCAACGACTAACCAACTGTAGGTTGATCTTCAAGCACTGCCAGCTTGCACCCGTTTGGGCAAGGTGCTGCCACTTCGTGCGGCCCTTCGCTTCTGTTGACGTCTGTACGACTCATGAAGACAGACGGCGAGCAGAAGCAAGGCGAGCGAAACCGCGACTCCGCCTTATTGGACACGGGTCTGCAAAACAAGTGAACTCGCACTGCATCATGCACCGGAAAAGTGCACATTGCCATGACATTCAAGTGCTTTTGGGGTGCAGAAGTTCAAGGGATGGAACAAAGGTGACGACAGCACGCTGGCCATGAAGACAATCGTGAGCACCAAAGCTGTACCAGCGCCCAGCATTCCAAAGGGAGATAGGAACATGGAGTCCTGCAACGCAACATCTTGGCAGTGGACTCCAAAAGCACACAGGACGATACATGGGCAAGCAATGCCTTGCCTCTTGTTGGTTCCGGTATCTGATCAAGATGAAGCAGCACAGCTGAATCATGTAGCCACCAAGGGCACAAATCGAAGCACCACTGGTGAAGGTGGCTCTGATCTCTTCCTCGACTGTGCTGCTTTCATTTTCTCAACGATCAAAAAGCCCCGACGTATGGAAAACTTCACACACGCTCAGCTGTCCGGCTGTTCACAGCCTGTCGACGGGAGGCACCCAGGCCACCACACTGCTTAGTGACGAATCTAACAACTCTGGAAAAGAACTCAAGTGCATGGCGGGCTCGTACTGGTGATCTAGCGCTTGGAAAACAACTTCCAAAAAGAGGAGCGCCACCACGACAACCACGGCCGAGGAGTATGTCGGAGCTCCTCGCACCCACAGACTCAAGTGTCAATCCATTTACGCTTCAGGCCTCGGGCTGGCAACTTTACCACAGCAAGGCTGCCAACATCTCCTGTCTGTCCATCCCGCTGTGCCAAGCATGCCGGAAGCAATGAATCTTCTGCCATTTGCGTAACCAGTTGCGCGGCTACGAAGGTAAAGACATGCAGCGAGGCCTCAGCTCCCAAAGCTGCAGTGGTAGTGGTAGTCGTCGCGGTAGTATGCATGTGTAGACGTGGCAGTAGTGTACGTCGTCGTAGCAATAGTAGAAGTAGGAGTAGTAGTTGTCGTCGTAGTAGTAGTAGCAGTAGCAGTAGCAGTAGCAGTAGCAGTAGCAGTAGCATTCATTCCCCACGCTGCATGACATCCGAGTCTGCTTAGCGAGCTAGCATCACGCCTTTAACGTGATGGATCCTCAGGTGGGATCTGTGATGGGTCAGGGTGACCGGCATCACACTACCATACCATTCACTCAGAAGCATCTTCTTCGGTTTCAGCACAATCCTGGCTCGTCACGAAGCCAAATCACATAAGCTGCAGTGCGGTGCATGTCGTGATCATCTGATGTGCAACTGCGCGCAACTCTGCCATCGTCAGTGTGCCAGCTTTTGTCAGCTCCATAGAAAGGCTGGCCATTCAGCACAGCTCGGTAGTGCCCCTCAGTTGGTGCGTCCCCAAAATGCAAAGCCACGACCTGGTACGGTGCATGGGTGCATATCAGTTCATTGCGAAGCTCGGCATTGTCGGCATGGAAGACAGGCATATGCACTGTGGACATGTGGCCTTTCAGAGGCCGTAGGTCGCGTTGCATCCTCCCCTCCTCATTGTGAAATCGCAGTAGCTGCAGACACAGGAAGGGTGCAGGGGCGGTAAGGGCGTGAATGCAGGATTGCCTGTGCTATGCATCCACGCACCACTGCAGATGACATGTATCACCTGTGCAAAGAGGAATGGGGATGGGAAGGCAGGCAGGTCCCCGATCTAACACACTGAGTTGGCTATTCCGGAAGCGTCGGGCCTCCCAGCTTGGAGCCTCATGGTCAACAGGCCAGCTAAGGCACCTGGGTAGAAGATAGCCGAGGAATTCGCATATGTCATGCTGCTGATTGATCTGTGGCCACTGCCCAAGCAGCATCCGCCAAGGCAGAAGGCGAGCTACCTGAATGGAGGAGGCAGTCCGCATGGAGTCTGAGACAAGGGTATCAAAGCACTTGTGGAGTGCTGGACTGTGGTTGCCGTGTCTGCGCAGTTGCAGAATCGTCCAAAGGAGGGTATATATGGAGGTGTGCATGTAGCAGTGGTTGTGAGGGTTGTGGAATTGCATGCGCAGAACCTGGCTAAGACTGAGGTCGCGGCCCTGGATCAAAGTCCCTGGCGTACTTGGTCCACCAGGGTATTGAATTGCGGGCGCTCCTTCCGCAATCTGCATCCTAGCAGATGCCACGCCGATTGACCGATCCACTTCTGGAGGGTGGACCATACAGGGTCGCCCAGTGGCCTCAATGAGATCTCCATGCGGAACTGGATCCATTCGGACGTGGGTTGGTCCGTCATCCTCTTCTATCTCAGCGATGCAATGCCTCCTCGCACACGCTCTTCCGCATCTCCACGGTCTGCTTGAGGAGGTCGTCCGTGCTCGCTGCCGGCTGGCTCTCGTCCACTTGCAGCTCCATTTTACTGGGTCCCATTTGAGGATTCTCCAATTTCCGCGATCGTCCAGCCAGTTGAGCTTCTTGGCTTTTTCGGTCTCGGATGGATTTTTGGCCACTGCAGCCAAGCGACCATGCATCTCTATCATCAGCTGTTTGAACATCGCGATCTTCAGAGAGTGCGTCAGGGTGCACGGCGTTTTCTCCTTCTCGGCTCGCCACTTCTCTGCCGTTTGGTGGAGCAGAGACACTATGCTGCCCTGGCCGGTCTTGACAAAGAGGTAAAGGGTGATATCCTGTCTCAGGGAGGCAATGGTCTGTTCCTGTTGCAGCACGAGTCGAGTGAGATTCTGCAGGTGCTGCTGGTAGTAGTACTCGGTCTCTCCGATGTAGTGATGATTGGCCGGCGTTGCGACCTGGGTGGGCCACGGGTTGTCCCACTGGTCGGAACCATTTGTGTAGTCCCAGGTCGGCGGAGGAGTCGGCGCTTTGCCCTTTCCTTTCCCTTTCTTCCCTTTGCCTTTTCCCTTGATCATCGGATGTGTCGAAAAGCCCCCCTTCGGGCGCTGCCGCTTGGTGGGCGGCAGAGTCCCCAGATCTGGTTGCCCGAAAAATTTGGCCTCGTCCGTGTCCAGGTCCATCTGATCGAGGGTGAACGGAGTCATACCACACTTGAAGAAAGGCACAAATGCTCAATACAGGACATTGGTAATAATGTCTATCCTTGTTCACTCTGATCTGTTGACAGTACCTGCATGGAAGCACGATTGTGCGACGAAAGGCCTTGAGCAGTTGCTGTGCAGCTGCCTTGTGCTCGAGCCATGAGGCGTGCGCGTGAGCCAGGTGGTGTTTGAGTCCAGTCGTATCTGCACACCATTGAAAGCAGACGGGGCAGTGGTGCTGCAGAGACTGCTGCACAGGCAGATCACTAGCCAGTTTGACCCAGGATCCTCCACTCAGCAGCTGTAAGACCTCAGGTCGATGGATGAGGGGTGTGTCGGGAGCCTGAATAGGTGCTATGGCATGGACCGAGGCAGGGTCAGCAGCAGGGGTGATATCCTGTGGATTGTTCGGCAGAGCCTCGCTCACAGCAGACACTGGCAGGCCTTGCACGAGTGCAGAAGAAGAAGTGGTGTCTGCAGTAGCAGGAGGAATCTTGCCGCTGTAACCTCTGAGTACCGGGCAGCGCCTCTTGCAGATGTGTTGCTTGAGATTGGCCCATTGTCTGAAGGAATGTTGGCAAAGACGACAGGTGGGCACTCCATTGATACTGTGTTGACTTTTGCAGAACACTGTTTCATTTTGTTTAGGAGCTTTCTGTGAGTGCTCAGCCGACTCATGAACCCTCAGTAAGCGGTAGCTGCGAAAGGCCCGATCACAGCGCGAGCACTGGTAAGGAGCAGCCGGGTCCTCCTCGCCATCTCCAGAAGACGAAGAGACCCACTGTTGCGCCTGTCAAAGTTGGAGCTGAGCTGCTATTTGCTGTGCACTCTCCACATGCTGTAGAGCAACGGTGTCTCCAAAGGCAGTATTGGAGAAAAGCTGTCCATGTAGGGTGTGGGCTTCCTTATGTAGAATATCCAGGACACTTCGAACCTGAAATCGGGCATAGAGATCCTGGGTAGAAACCTTGCTGAGATGAGCGAATAGGTGGGTTATAGGGCGCAGCTGTCGCGTGAGCTGATGTTGTAGTCTCTGGAGATCCCGTAGACTGGGGGCCGATGGTGCAATTCCGTACAGCATTGTGGGTAGCACAGTGGTCTTCCAGATTTCCACCCTCTTCCAAACATCAAGGCTACATTTAGAGCACAAGATTTTCCGAAGTCTTTGCCAGGTTTGATTTGCTGCTTTGAGGCGATGAGCAATCGTATGCTTGGCAGAGGAGTGATACGAAATAGTGACTCCCAAATAAATGTGATGTTCCTTGAGGGGGAAGGTGTAGATGCGGCCTTTGGGCGTTCGGAGCCGAAGATGCGGCTCAGAGTCACATATGATCTTGCGCTGCTGTAGCCACTTCTTAGCAAACCCGCCTCGAACCCGGAGAAGCATGGCCGACTTTTTCTGATTGATGCACATATGTGCGTCAGCAAGCAGATCAAGCAGTGCACCGATACGAGTCACAGCTCGGTCACGATACGAGTCGACACGGTCAGATGCACGGAAGTCGTCCGCGTAGCAGGTAATGCAATGGGCTACCCAGCTGGGTGTAAGATCCTGCT